GAAAACCCTTTGCTATGAAACAAATCATCCCCTTGGTGCTGTGCCCAGGCCACACCAGCGAACATGCACAGCTGGGGGAAACAAACCCTCCTCTCTCTGGGGAGACGGAGCAGTGTGAGCTCTGGAGGCCAGACCGGGGTGAGGATCTTGCCACCAAAACCATTTCCCCAATCCAGGTGTTTTTTTTTTTCTCCCTGCAGGCCCGAAAACACGCACAAGTCCATGAAAGCCAGTTACCACGCAGACATCAACCTCCTGTACTGGAGCGACGAGGAGACAACGGTCGACTTCCGCGCCGTGCAGGGCCGTTGCACGGTGGTGTATGGGGAGGATCTGACGGAGAGCATCCAGGACTACTCCGCCGGTGGGCTCGACCGCTTTTACTTCTTGGAGGTGAGGGAGCCGGGCTTCAAGGCTGTGTTGAGCCCCCGGGGAGGGAGTTTGGGGTGCAGAGATCTGAGAGTCACCAGGAGCCGGCTGGAGCAGTTGCTCTCTTTGGAGCTAAGGGGCCAAATTTGGACCCTCGGGCGGCCGCCCCAGCTCCCCGAGGCAATGGCGAGGGAGGTGAAGGACCCTCTGCAGCCCCCAGCGCTGCGCCCGTGTCCTGCCCTTTGGTTTCCAATGCCTCGGCCGTTCCTGAGCTAGAGAAGCTCTTTGTATTCAAGCATCCTGAAGCCTTTCTCTTCCCCAGGCTTACAATGCAAAAACCAAGAGCTTTGAAGATCCTCCCAACCACGCTCGGAGCTCTGGCAATAAAGGGAAGGGAAAGGGGAAAGGGAAAGGTAAATCTGCTCGGGGGGGGAGAGATCTCGGGTGGGTGAACCGGTTCGTGAGTGCTGTTACACACAACTGAGCAAAAATCGGCTGTTGACCAGATGCTTCTGTGCTCTCCTTGCTCTGGCAGGATGCAGCGTTGTGGTTTTAAGGCACCTAATCCCTTTGGGGAAAAAAAAAAAAATAAAAAAAATTTGAAAATATCTTGCAGCGACAGCACCTGGTCTTTCAGAGATCTCAAAGCCAACCTTCTGCCAGGGGCTGGCTGCTCCGTAGCGTAGGGTTTGTGCCCTGCTGCCACCACGGGGAGCTGCCCTGTGAGATATCGCGGTGCCCGGCTGCCCCTCAAACCCCCTGCTTGCGCCCACGGGCTGTCGGATGGAAGGGGGTTGCGTGGAGAGGGGGGGAAAGGACGAGAGGCTTCCCTTCCAAATGCCAGGGCGTAACCTGGCAGTGACAAGGAAGCAATTAAGGGGCAGAAAGGTGCTTGGAGCTGATATTTTTTTAGCTGCTGCGGAGGACGGGGAGAAGAATTTGCCTTGTAAGCACTAAAAGGAGGAAATGACTTTGCCTTTTGATGTGAGCGGGGCTCTGTTCGCAGGCAAAGGCAAAGGGAAGTCATCGGTAAGCTGCGAGCAGAGCGAGCAGGAGCCGGCCGAGCTGAAGGTCCCCAAGCTGCGGACCCTGGATGTCTTCTCTGGCTGCGGAGGGTTGTCCGAGGGCTTCCACCAGGCAGGTGAGCAGCAGAGCGGGGCCAGCGGCGGGGTGGCAGGCAGAGCCCCTGGGGCATCGGCGCCGGCCGCTCGGTTCCTCCGAAGTGGTTCAGCACGTGCTGGATCTGAAGGGGGGTGGGGGTGCGAGCCGGCGCTCTGCTCCACCGCACAGGCTCAAGGTCCTCTGCTTTGTCTCCCCAGGCGTATCGGAGACGCTCTGGGCCATTGAGATGTGGGAACCGGCCGCCCAGGCTTTCCGGCTGAATAATCCCGGCACTACAGTCTTCACGGAGGATTGCAACGTCCTGCTGAAGCTGGTCATGTCGGGCGAGAAGACCAACTCGCTGGGGCAGAAGCTGCCGCAGAAGGGGGACGTGGAAATGCTCTGCGGCGGCCCCCCCTGCCAGGGCTTCAGCGGCATGAACCGCTTCAACTCCCGCACCTACTCCAAGTTCAAGAACTCCCTGGTGGTCTCCTTCCTCAGGTGAGCAGGGGAGGGGGGTGAGGAGGTGTGTCGGGGTGCGGACCCCCACCTCAAATGTTGCTCTGTCCTTGCTCTCGTGTCTCTCTCCCTCCTCGCAGCTACTGCGACTACTACAGACCGCGGTTCTTCCTTCTGGAGAACGTCAGGAACTTTGTGTCCTTCAAGCGTTCCATGGTGCTGAAGCTCACCTTGCGCTGCCTCGTCCGCATGGGTTACCAGTGCACCTTCGGGGTCCTACAGGTAGGGTGTTGGGGGACCCCGAGATGGTTAACTGGTGTGAAAACCCATCTCCTCCCACCTGGCTCTGCCGTGCTCCGTCCTCTTGGAAGGAGCCGTTGGCTGCATTGCTCCTTGGCTTCCCCGGGTGGTTTTGGGGGACGTTCCCAGCTCTTTGAGGGTACAAACCGGATGGGGAAGCTCCAGCCCTTTTAGGAGTTGTCTCTTCCTTCCCAGGCTGGCCAGTACGGCGTGGCCCAGACGCGGCGGAGAGCCATCATCCTTGCCGCAGCTCCCGGCGAGAAGCTGCCCATGTTCCCCGAGCCTTTGCATGTGTTTGCGCCCCGGGCCTGTCAGCTGAGCGTCGTGGTGGACGACAAGAAGTTCGTCAGCAATATCACCCGGTGAGCCTTCGGAGCCGCGCCGGGGCTGGCGAGGGTGAAGTCTCACCTGCTCACGGCTCCCTTCTTCCTCCCAGGACGTATTCCGGCCCCTTCCGCACCATCACCGTGCGGGACACCATGTCTGACCTGCCGGAGGTCAGGAACGGTGCCTCTGCCTTGGAGATCTCCTACAACGGCGAGCCCCAGTCCTGGTTCCAGCGGCAGATCCGGGGCTCCCAGTATCAGCCCATCCTCAGGGATCATATCTGCAAGGTGCAGATGCTGGGGTCTTGAGGGGAGTGGGGGGGAGCGGGCCAGGCTGCACTTAGACACCCCCCCCCCCCAGACCCAAATTTAGATGGGGGTCAAGGGCGGTTTGGATGAGAGGGACCATCCCCAAGCCCTCTGTGGTTAAATTCCTCAAAGATGAGGCTGGCGGAGCTGCTGGGACCTGTCCCTCTGCCCCAGAGAGAGGGGCGGGGTGGCCGGTGTCCCTCCACGTCCCCTGCCCTGCTGACGGTGACGGTGGGCTCGTCGTTGGCAGGACATGAGCGCCCTGGTCGCGGCCCGGATGAGACACATCCCTTTGGCCCCCGGTTCCGATTGGCGCGACCTGCCCAACATCGAGGTGCGGCTGTCGGACGGCACGACCACGCGCAAGCTGCGGTACACGCACCACGAGAAGAAAAACGGTCGCAGCAGCTCCGGGGCGCTGCGGGGGGTCTGTTCCTGCGCTGAAGGTAGGTGTGGGCTCGCCAAAAACACCCGTGGATGCCCGCCCGTGCCCCTCTTCACCCTCTCCCATCTTTCCAGGCAAGCCTTGCGACCCCGCGGACCGGCAATTCAACACCCTCATCCCTTGGTGCTTGCCGCACACCGGCAACCGGCACAACCACTGGGCCGGGCTCTACGGGCGCTTGGAGTGGGACGGCTTCTTCAGCACCACCGTCACCAACCCCGAGCCTATGGGCAAGCAGGTGGGTGCCCGCCGGATCCCTCCTCGGCGCCGGGAAAGGCGAGGCGTTTGGTGGAATGGCCGCCTGGGTCCCTAACCGTCAGCTTGCCGTAGGGGCGGGTGCTGCACCCGGAGCAGCACCGGGTGGTGAGCGTGAGGGAGTGCGCCCGTTCCCAGGGCTTCCCCGATACCTATCGCCTCTTCGGGAACATCCTCGATAAGCACAGACAGGTGAGTGCTGGCTGCCGCGGTGGAACCGGCGGCGTGGCGGAGCCCTTGGCATCCCCTCGCTCGCCGGCGGCGTGGCGGAGCCCTTGGCATCCCCTCGCTCGCCGGCGGCGTGGCGGAGCCCTTGGCATCCCCTCGCTCGCCGGCGGCGTGGCGGAGCCCTTGGCATCCCCTCGCTCGCCGGCGGCGTGGCGGAGCCCTTGGCATCCCCTCGCTCGCCGGCGGCGTGGCGGAGCCCTTGGCATCCCCTCGCTCGCCGGCGGCGTGGCGGAGCCCTTGGCATCCCCTCGCTCGCCGGCGGCGTGGCGGAGCCCTTGGCATCCCCTCGCTCGCCGGCGGCGTGGCGGAGCCCTTGGCATCCCCTCGCTCGCCGGCGGCGTGGCGGAGCCGGCGCCCAGCGTAACCTTCCCTCTGTTGCAGGTCGGTAACGCGGTGCCTCCTCCTCTAGCCAAAGCCATCGGGCTGGAGATCAAATCGTGTGTGTTGGCCAAGCTGAGGGAAGACACGGCGGGTAGGTGCCATCCCAGGAGCTGCTGCCAAAAAAAAGCAGGGGGGACGCACCCTCCTCGCCCTCAGCCCTCCCTCGGGGGGTCTGTTTTAGGGCTGGGGGTCCCTCCTGCCCCCCTCGGGGTTGGGGGACGGCGGTGTCACCCCCACCTCTCCCTCCCCAGAGCCCAGCGCCCCAGAGAAGATGGAGACCATGGAAACTGCCGGCTGACGCGCGGCGTCTCCTCGAGCACCAGGACTCCCAAACATGCACTGATTTATTTTAAATCCCCCTTTTTTTTTTTTTTTTTTTTTTTTATTTTGTTTCATTTTTTTGTGTGTGTTTTTTTGTTGTTGTTTTTTGGGTTTTTTTGTTTGTTTGTTTGTTTGGGGTTTTTTGTTTAATTTTTTTCTGTTGTTGCTTTGTTTTTTGGTTTGGTTTTTTTTTAATTTTTTTTTTTTTTTTTTTTTTTAAATTCCCTGCCCGTCCCCTTACCCCAGCTCGTCTCCCCCTCCTCACCGCCCTCCGCCACTGTCTGTGATGGTCAAACTCCACAACCCCCCCAAACCCCCCGGCCCCAGGCCCCAGCAGCGCCCACTGGGACCCCCAGTCCCAGCCCAGCGTTGGGGCCCCGCTCCCTGTTTTTACGCCGCATTGTATTGAAAATAATCGGCCGCTTTGTATAAGTGGGAATTGATACTTTATGTAGTTTTTATATGTTGTAATATTTCTTCAAATAAATCTCTCCTATAAATTATAACCTCCCCTGCTTTCCCGCTTTTTCGTTGGGCCTAACGTAGGCCTCAGCCCGGTGTGGGGGGGTGGTGTGTGTCAGGGCGGCGTTGCTTAGCAACCGTCTCCCGGCGTGCAGCGCGGCCCGCCTCGCCCCGCCCCTTCCCGCCTGCCCCTCCCCTCAGCCGGAAGTGGCGCGGCGGCGCCGGAAGTGGTGGCGCCTCCTTCCGGTCGCTGCGCGTGAGGGTGGAGGGAGCGCGATGCCGACGGGCGACTACGAGTGAGGGGAACCGGGAACCGGGACCGGGGGCTGGGGCATCGGTGGGGGGACGGGGCCCGACGGAGACGGGGCCTGGGGGCAGCGAGCGGGACCGCGGGGGAGGAGCGGGGCTGGGGCCGGGAGGGCCCCGATGGGGCCTTCGGGGGGAGCTGTGAGGGGCTTCGTGTGGAGCTGTGGCGGTAAGGGGTGAGGGGAGGGGGCTTCGGGGGGAGCGATGAGGGGTGAGGGGAAAGGGCTTCAGGAGGAGCTGTGGCGTAGGAGGGGAAGGGGCTTCGGGAGGAGCTGTGACTCTGGGGGGTGAGGGGAAAGGGCTTCGGGGGAGCAGTGAGGGTCCTCGGGAGGAGCTGTGGTTCTAGGGGGTGAGGGTCCTCGGGAGGAGCTGTGGTTCTGGGGGATGAGGGGCTTCGGGAGGAGCTGTGACTTAGGGGGGTGAGGGGAAAGGGCTTCAGGGGAGCAGTGAGGGTCCTCGGGAGGAGCTGTGGTTCTAGGGGGTGAGGGTCCTCGGGAGGAGCTGTGGTTCTGGGGGATGAGGGGCTTCGGGAGGAGCTGTGGCTCTGGGGGTGAGGAGAAGGGGCTTTAGGAGGAGCTGGCGGGAGTGAGGGTTTTCGAGGGGAGCTGTGAAGGGCTTTGGGAAGAGAGGTGAGGAGAAGGGGCTTCGGGAGGAGCTGTGGCTGTGAGGGATGAGGGGAAGGGGCTTTGAGGGAAGCTGTGAATGTGAGGGGAAGGGGCTTTGGGCAGAGCGGTGGTGGTGAGGGGTAGGGGCCTTGGGAGGAGCTGTGGCTGGGGGGTGAGGGCAAGGGGCTTTGGGCAGAGCTGTGAGGGTGAGGGGCTTCGGGCAGAGCTGTGGCAGTGAGGGGTGAGGGGAAGGGGCTTTGTGGGGAGCTGTGAGAGTGAGGGGAAGGGGCTTCAGGCAGAGCCGTGAGGGTGAGGGGCTTTGGGTGGAGCTGTGGCGGTGAAAGGAAGGGGCTTCAGGAGGAGCAGTGGCGGCGATGGGAAGGGGCTTTGTGGGGAGCTGTGAGGGTGAGGGTCTTCAGGCAGAGCTGTGGTAGTGAGGGGCTTTGGGAGGAGCAGTGAGAAGTGAGGGGAAGGGGCTTTGGGCTGGGCTGTGGGTGGTGAGGGGAAGGGACTTTGGGAGGAGCACTGAGGGATGAAGGGCTTCAGGAAGAGCGGTAGGGGGAAGGGGCTTCAGGAGGAGTTGTGAGGGAAAGAGGGTGACAGCCCAAGTGTGGCAGGAGCGGTGAGGGGGAGCAGCCAGGGGGAAGGGGGGGACAAGTGGCTTGGCTGGGGCCTAGAGCTGAGGGACAACAGGGTCTGTGAGTGAGGGGACAGGCGAGGCACGGCGCGCTAAGGCACTGCTCTCCACAGCTCAAAGCCCAGCTGGGCCGACCAGGTGGAAGAGGAAGGTGGAGAGGACGGTGAGTGTGTCCTGCTGCAGGCCAATTCCCTCCCCCTTTCTCCTGCTGCTCCTCCTGCTGGTAACTGGGGAATTTTTGTGGAGAAAAAAAGAGCAGCTGCTGTTCCTAAACCCGCCCAGAGACCTGCCTGCTTCTGGTTCAGGGCTCAAAACAGCCTCCCAGGCTCTTCTCAGAGGCCAATCCTTGCGAGTGGAACGTCCCTGACTTGGGATGAGGAGCGGGACCGTTCTCACCCTCCTTGCTCCCCCTAGTTCCGTGGCTGAGGAAGCCCAAGGGCTTGGTGCAGCTGCGATTTCTTGCCTCTGGCTTTTTTCTCTACTTGGGGAAGAGAGCAGGGCCCCACCTCCCTGCAGGGAGAGGCTGTGCCGGGGTGTGGGGTTTTTCCCTCCTCTGCTGGGCTCACCCCAAGCGAGGAGGGTGACTCTCCCCCTTCTCTTCCCGCAGACAAATGCATCACCAGCGAGCTGCTGAAGGACATCCCCCTGCCCGGGGTGCTGGGGGGCAGCCTGAGCGCTGAAGCCGAGCTGCTGAAGGGAGGTGAGAGCTGGGTGAGAGGCCAAGGGGCTGTTTTCCTGTCACCTCCCCCTCATCACACACTGTCCCACTGTCCCCTCTCGCCGCAGGCCCGCTCCCCTCCCCAAAAGAACTCATCAATGGGAACATCAAAACCATCACGGAGTACCGCGAGGAAGAGGATGGGCGCAAAGTGAAGGTCAGGGTGGTCTCAGGCTGCTATTTTGGCTTCTCCCTGCTGCTGAGCTCCCCTTCTCCCCTCGGAGAACCCTTGGTTCTGCTCCGGTTCAGGGGCTGATCCCCACCGGCCCGCTCAGGCAGGGACGTCCCATGGCAGCCCCGTTTCAACTCTGCTGCCTCAAGCAGCCCCAAACTCAGCCCATCTGCCATCCCTCCGCTTGCATCAATTTTATTTATTTATTTTTTTCCTCTCACCTTTACAGATCATCCGCACTTTCCGCATTGAAACCAGGAAGGCCTCCAAGGCTGTGGCCCGTCGGAAGGTGAGCGGGAAGGGAGAGGGAGAGAGGGACATCTGCGCTCTGGCAGGAACCACTTCATCTCCCAGCCCTCTGCTTCTGTCCCCTCCTTAATCTCCCCACGGTGGCGAGCGTTTCCCTTCCTGCTCTGTGATTGTTTGGGGACTTGTTGTACGAATTGGGCCCCCTCCCCCCCCAACATTTTCTCCCCAGAACTGGAAAAAATTTGGCAACTCAGAGTTTGATGCCCCTGGACCGAATGTGGCCACCACCACCGTGAGCGATGACGTTTTCATGACCTTCATCACCAGCAAGGAGGTGGGTTGGGCTCGCGGGGAGCCCCCAGGGCTGCTGGGGTGCCCCTTGATGAGGCCGGGGTGGGTCCTGGGGGATTCAGGAATCTCCCTGTCCCCCAGGACCTGAACTGCCAGGAGGAGGAGGATCCCATGAACAAGCTGAAGGGGCAGAAGATCGTCTCGTGCCGTATCTGCAAGGGCGACCACTGGACGACCCGCTGTCCCTACAAGGACACCCTGGGGCCGATGCAGAAGGAATTGGCTGAGCAGTTGGGGCTGTCCACAGGCGAGAAGGAGAAGCTGCCTGGAGGTACAAACCCCGCCCCCCTCTTAAATTTTGGGGGGCAAGGGGAAGGCTGCTCTCTGCCTGCGGGCAGCCTCACCTCCTGCCTGTCGCCTTTCCTGCCCTCAGAGCCGGAGCCGGTGCAGGCTCAGCAGAGCAAGACGGGCAAGTACGTTCCCCCCAGCCTGCGCGACGGAGCCAGCCGCCGCGGCGAGTCCATGCAGCCCAACCGCCGGGGTAAGCCAAAGCCTGGTGCCCGGGCCGTGCACCATGCGTGCCAGCTCTGCCCACAGTCCTGCTCGTGACCTCCACCTTCCTCATCCTTCCCCCAGCCGATGACAACGCCACCATCCGGGTCACCAACCTGTCCGAGGACACCCGTGAGACTGATCTCCAGGAGCTGTTCCGGCCCTTTGGTTCCATCTCTAGGATCTATTTAGCCAAGGACAAGACCACTGGGCAGTCCAAGGTGGGATTTTTCCCCTTTGGGGGGGCTGAGGAGGGGGACCCCTCCACTTCCCCTCACCCTCTCGCTTTCCCCCACCCCAGGGTTTTGCCTTCATCAGCTTCCACCGCCGGGAGGATGCGGCCCGGGCTATTGCCGGCGTCTCTGGATTTGGCTACGACCACCTCATCCTCAACGTGGAATGGGCCAAGTAAGTATGAGGGGTTTGGCTCGGAGGATTTGGGGGGGTCCCAGGGGTACATGTGCAGCCGCCCCTCTTCTCACCGCCCTCTTCCTCCTCTGCAGACCCTCCACCAACTGAATCCAGTGCGGCGCCGGCTCCCGGCGAGAGCAGTTGGCGCTTCTAAATAAAGACGCACGGTCTGGTATGCATCAAGGTGTGGATTGGAGGGGTCGGGGTGGTTCAGGGTGGGGAGCAGCCCCCTCCTCATCCCCAACTCACTCGCGACACGGTGAAGGGCACGGTGCCGTCATTCCTCCCTTTTTTAAGCTTTCCAAGTAGGAAAAAGTGGGATTTTTACCAAAAATAGGTGTGACGTGAGGCCGTGCTTGATTTCAGCTTTAATCCTGCTTCTCCCACCTCTCTTTCTGGGAGAGAAATGGGAGCCAAGCCCAGTGCCAGCCGCCTTGGAAGGCTCCTAGGTTGCCGGCCGGAGCTCACCGTGCTCAACCCGCTCCTTCTGGTGCCACAGCAGATGTTGAGGTTACAGAAAACGTGGTAGGGAAAGGCAGAAAGCGCCACTTCCACCCCCATTTTCCCCTTTTCCAAGCGGGTGAGGATTAGGGAAGGGGGTGTGGATAATGGTGGTGTAGCCAAAGGGCGGGTGCCTGTTGGGATAAAAACCCCGCAGCTGCAGTCCTCAAATATTCCATCACACCTTCTGCTTCTTGAAGCTCTGAAAAAACCCAAAGGGGGTGCCAGCAGTGGCCACGGCAGTGGCTGAGGTGGGTGGCTAGTTTGGGGGTTCCTCCTGCTGTTGCTGTCCTGTCCCGTTTCCCTCCCCCTGCCCCCCCTTTTTGGTGGCTGCTGGAGGGAAGCAGCGAGGGAGGAGGGCGGGTGAGCCTTGTGCTGGGACTGAGGAGACCTCGTGGTCCTGTTGGGGACAGGATGTGGCCCCTCTGTCTGTCCTTCCCCCTTTGCCTGGCTCCCAGGGTGCAGGCAGGACCCCATTTTTCCACCTGCAGTCCTGCCTCCCCCCCCCATCCTCTCCTGTCCCCCCTCCCTCCTCGGTGGCAGCCACCAGGCAGCATCCTGCCCCATTTTGGGTACAAGAGGCCAGCTCTGCCTGACCACACCAAAACCAGGCACCCTGGGTGGCAGGGGGGACACCGTTACAGCCCAGGGGGTCCCCCCATTTTCCACCCCCCCCCCCAACCCCAGCACAGCCACAGGAAGTTGTTCCAAGCAGTGTATTGCACAGAAACGAGGTGGGGGGCGTGTGTTTCCTATTTCCTCTTCCCCTTCCTGGCGTATCCCGGCCGCCGGAAAATCATCTTCCCCTTCGGCAGCAGCTTCCCTCGTCCCTTCAGCCTCGAGGTGGCCCGGTGGTTCCTCGGTGCCCCCTCGGTTCTTCGGTGCAGTTTTTGGCCAGTCTCCCCCTGCCTGGCTCCGCCACAGTGCCGCGAGTCCTTCGGTGCCGCGTCTCCCTTCCGCCGCTTCCCCGGCGCCGTGGGGCGAGGGCTGGGGGGGGCAGGATGCTCCGGCCCCTTGTGCCAGCGGCGGCGTTTCCGTGACGGGGCAGTGCCCGAGGAGCTTCGCTTCCTCTTGGTGCGGTCAGGAAACAGATCTTTGGGGGGGGGTAGGGAGAGAAAAAAAAAAAAAAAAAAATCAGCAAAAAAGGGGGCACGGGGACGCAGAATCGGGGCTGACGGAGGTGTCAGTGCGTTTACTTTGAACCGAGATCATGGGGAGTTCAAGGTTTTTCGCGTCATCAGCCACTACCAGGAGAGGATTGAGGGGTGGGGGGGCTCGGTTGCAGCCCCTCCGAACTCACCCTTGTCTGGCTCCTCGCCAACCTCCTGCCGGTAATACTCGGCGTCGCTCTCTTCCGACTGCTCGGCCGTATCCTGCTGCTCTGGCGCGCCGGGATCCTCGGCGTCGCTGTCGCCGTCCTGCTGCCGTTTCCTCCGGATCCCTGCCAGGCTCTTCTCCCTGCGGTGCCATCGGGGGTGGAGGGGTGTCAGCCAGCACTGGGGCTGCTGCCGGGTCCCCCCCCCCCTCTCCTCTTGCCACGCCACCCTCACCTGTGAGCTTCCCGCTGCTGCCGCTTCCGCTCCACGTCCGCCTCCTGCTTCTGCCGCCGCTCCGCCTTCAGCCGCAGCTTCGCCTCCTTCCGCGCCAAGATCTCCTGCACCTCCGCCTCCATCTTGTGGACTTAAAACACACAGTGAGAGTTTGGGGGGGGGGGGTGAGGCACCCCGACTTGAGCCCCTGTGCCGGCAGCTTACCGCGGCGTTTTGTGGCACTTACTGAAGCTGTGGTAGAGCACGTTGCCCTGTGCCAGGCCTTCCTCCACCTTGATGAGCTGCAGAGTCATGCGGGGTCCGATCTGCAGGAATTTGGGGGGGCGGAGGGGGGATGTGGAGACCCCGTCGATCATTCTCGCTCGCACACCCACCCTCCCGGGGCGCCAGCACTGCTGTCACTTTACCTCGGTGAGGCGCACAGCGCTCTGCTGCGCTTTCATGTTGCCTCGGCCGGAGTACGCCTGCGGCAGCTCCAGGATGTTGTGGGTCCCATCCTGCTCGGCCTCGCTCTCTGACAGGTTTATGTCCCTGTCGGGGGACACGAAAGTAGTTGGGGACAGGCTGGAAAAGCACCTCTGGGACCCTTATCCCCCTCAGGGTGTGTGTGTGTGTCCCACGCACTTCACCAGCAGCTCACTGATGTCTTCCAGGCGGCTCATGTTGGGGAATTTCTCCTGCAGCAGCTTCTTCAGGCCTTTGCTCACGCCCACAGGCACGATCTTCACGCTGCTGCGAGGAGGAAGAGGAGGAGGAAGAGGTTGGCGGTGGGACATGGGGTGCAGGGCCCCCCCCCCCCGCCAAAATCAAGGGTGCAACACTTACTAATGCCTGAAATCGAGGAGCTGCGTCTCTGCGTTGTAGCTGATGAGCAAACACCTCTTGATGTTGTTGAGGTTGATCTGTGAAAGGAGGGAGAGGAGAAAAGGAGGAGGAGGGAAGGAGGAAGAGAAGGAAAATGGGAAAGGAGGAAAAGGAGAGAAGGAAAAAGAGGGGAAGGAGGAAGAGAAGGAAGAGAAGGAGGGAGAGAGGAAGGAAAGAGAAGGAAAATAGAAAAGAAAGAAAAAAAGGAGAGAAAGAAGAGAGAAACGGAGGAAGAAAAGGAGGAGGAAAAGGAGAGGGAAGAGGAGGAAAATAGAAGAGGAGAGAAGGAAGAAGAGAAGGAAAAGGAAAATAGAAAAGGAGAAGGAGGAAAAAGAGGGAAGAAGGAGAAGGAAGAAGCAGAGAAGGAGGGAGAGAAGGAAGGGAAAAGGAGAAAGGAGATTTCAGCTGGGAGGGCCCCCCCAACACTCCCCTCATCCACCTGCCTGAGCGCCCCGGGGCTGAGAGGCAGGAGCCTGTCCCAGCGTTAGAGCACCCTCTCGGGAAAGAAATGTCCAATCCAACCCCCCCCAGGGTCCTGTCACTGGATACTGGGGTGAACTGGGGGAATGTGGCCCTGCCCAGGCAGCGGGGTTGGGTCCCTTCTACCCCTTCTGTGAGAAGAGCTCAGCACCTCCTCTGAGCCTGCTGCCCCCCCCCAATCCCTTCTGCAGGGCTGTTCTCCAGCTCCCCCTCTCCCAGTTGACGCCTCTACCCGACTTTACTCCATCCCCAGTGCAGAAACGGGCATGGACTTAATTGAATTTCATCCCATTAATCATCACCCAACGCTCCAATCTATGCGGGTCCCTCCATCTCCCAGTTTGGTATTTAACGCCCGTAGCTGCGCTGTTGATATATTGACTAGAACCAGCCCTAAAATTAAACCCTGAGGAAAGTGGGATGGGGGCTGAGCACCCCCCCCACCCCACCCCCCGCCCCCAGCTCGCTTACCCTGTGGACGTTGATGGAGGGGAACATGTTTTGGAACATGGTGGCCATCAACTTGATGTGGATTTGTTGGAGCCCCAAATTGCTGAGGACCAGGAGTGGGTGGTGGGTGAACTGCTGCTCATGCATGCGGTGCCGCTTGAGGGACGAGACCACGTCCTTGATCAGCGAGTACTGAGGTGGGGGGGGGGGGGGAGGACAGGGACACAGAGGATGAGGAGGGGGTGAGATGCTGCCCTTCGCACCGGTGAGGAAATTTTAGGAGGGTGGGCTCCTACCAGCACCCACCTGCATCACCTTGAAGGTCAGCGTCGGGCCGCCGGGCAGCCGGAACACTTTCTGGAAGGGGGAGAGAGGCGGCGCTCAATGCTGAGGGGGAAGAGGTGTGTGGGGGGGAAACGAGATCAACTCCCCCCCCCCCCCCCCCAAAAAAAAAAAAAAAAGCACCCAAAAAAACAACCCAGTGCAGACGCATCAGTGCGTTTACTTTGGATAAAATCACAGCATGAACTCAAGGAGGTTTTATCATCATCTGCGTCGGCGAGGGGAGGGTAAGTGCCCCCCCCCCAAAAAGGGGGTTGGCGCCCTGTGTGAGGCAGAGGGACCCCCAGAGGGTGAGGGGGGGGTGTGGGGGAGGGGTTGGGGCTACTCACAAAATTGATGCTGGCGGCTGATTTACTGAAAACCAAGAAATGCGTCACCCCCAGGGGCCCAGCCACGGCCACAAAATCCTTCAGGGAGTTTTTCTTCCGCACCTGCGGCACAAAGCGACCGGATCCTCGAGCTGCGCCCCCCCAGCAGCTCCTGGGGCTGGGCAGGATTTGTTTTGCCCCCCCCGCCAGTGCTCACCTGGAGGGCTCTGGCCGTGTAGGGCTCCATCACCTTCCTCACGTCGGTGACGAGGCGCCGCAGGCTCTTGCCACCGCGGCCGCGGTGGAAGACAAAGGAGTGGGGGACGGTGCCGAATTCCTCCTGGGCATGTTGGCGCGCCGCCGCCCGCTCCTTCTTCTGGTTCTTGCTCTGGGGGGGGGACACACATGGTCAGGGCTCGGGGGGGGTAGCCCTTCCTGCTTCCCTGAAAATTCCTGATCCCCCTTTTCCCAGGACAACCGGACCCCGCCCCCCTTCTCTAACCCCCCCCGAAGGGCCCGATCCCCTTTCTCCCAGAAATACCGCACCCTCCCGCCCCCCCATCTCCTCTAACCCCCCAGAAGCACCCGATCCCCCTTTTTCCCAGAAATACCGGACCGCCCCCCATTCCCTCTATCCCCCCCGAAAAGCCCAATTCTCTTTTTCCCTGAAATACCGGACCCCCCCATCCCCTCTAACCCCGCCCCCGAAGGGCCCGATCCCCCTTTTCCTGGGACAACCGGACCCCCCCGTCCCCTCTAAACCCCCTCCGAAGGGCCTGATCCCCCATTCCCTCAGCCCCCCCCTTGAAGGGCCCGATCCCCTTTTCCCAGGACAACCGCCCCCCCCAAAGGGCCCGATCCCCGCGACAGCCGTTGTTCCCCTCCTTCCTTTCCCCCTCCCCGCTCCCCCCGGCCCGTACTTTGCTCGGCCGACCCATCTCGCCGCGGCTCCCACCATGCGGCCTCGGCCACTTCCCGCCCCACCCCCGGAATCGTCCGGCTACTTCCGGTTCGTCACTTCCGCCCGGTGCCACAGCCCCGCGTTCCGCCCGCGGTTGCCATGGTGACGCGTGGGGGTTTTTTTTGTTGTTTTTTTTTTTTGTTTGTTTTTTTTTGTGTGGTTTTTTTTTTTTTTTTAGGGTTTTTTTTTTTTTTTTCCCCCCCGCCATGTCGGGGTGCGAGGCCTGAGGGGCCGGGGCCGCCTCACACCCCTCCCCCCCCCCCCCCCATCCCGTCCCGGATCGCTGCCGGCGCGAAGGTCAGTGCGAGGGGGGTGGCTGTGGGGGGGTGTGAAGTGACAGACTCTACTGGAGACCCCCAGAGCCCCCCTCAACACCCCCAGGCTCCCCAACCCGCCCAGGCCCCCCCAAACTCCCCCCAGAGCCCCCCTCAACACCCCCAGGCTCCCCAACCCGCCCAGGCCCCCCCAAACTCCCCCCAGAGCCCCCCTCAACACCCCCAGGCTCCCCAATGCGCCCAGACCCCCCCCTTCCCCCCGCTCTCCCTGTGACCCCCCAAACTCCTCCTGAGACCACCCCAACACCTCAAGAGCCCCCCCTCAGCCTCCCCACCCCTCCAGGCTCCCCAAAGCCCCTCAGGATCTCCAGCCCTTGATGTTCCCCAAAGCACCCCCCTCAGGTTCCCCCTACCCCAGCGCCTCACCCCCCAAGGTTCCCCCAACTGCCCCCAGCCCTCCCTCCCTCCCCCCCCCGACTCCCCATTCAGCCCCACTGGGACCCCATCCTGATGGGAGAACCCCGCTTTTTCTTTTTCTCCAGCTCTGACACCCCAAAAAGGGGGGGATGTGTTCGACCGCCAGCGCCGTCCGTCCGTCCTGCCGTGAGCGATGCCAGGGGGGTGCGGGGCCGCAAGCGTGACACCCTCCCCCCCCCCCCCCCCCATCTTCTTCCCCACCATCAAGAGCCTGAGCTCCCCCGCTTTGGGGTGCCCCTTCTCAAAGCGGGGTGATCCTACGTCGGAAGCAGCCGCAGGTGAGGCACCGCAGGACGCCCATGCTGAGGTGGAAGAGGGTGCCGTAGTCGAAGAGCAGGCGGTGGTAGGACCTCACGGACAGATCCCCCGAGGGATCCGCGTACTTGAGGGCCACCAAAGGCGTGTAGAGGTGGTTGGTTTGCGTGCGGAAAGCCGGCCGCCTGGCTCCGATCACGTCGGCGACGGCCTGCGGGCGGAGAGCAGCGGGGGTTTCAGGGCCGCCGTGGGGCTGGAAACGGCTCCCCAGAGCTTCCCCCCTCGCAGCCCCACACCTCGGCCACGGCGGTGGGGCTCTGCCCCAGCGTGGCGAAAATCTCCTGGGAAGCCGGCAGGTACACGTCCTTGAAGTACCGCACCGTAGCCGCGTCGGTGCCGGGAAACTCGGAGCGTGAAACCTCCTCCAGCAGCTTCACCTCGAACTCCGTGTTCACGGGGCCCGGTTCCACCATGGAGACGCTGTGGGGTGGGGGGGGTTCCAGAGCCACCCTTGAGCCCTCTGGGGTCCGTCCCCCTCTCCCCTCGCGTCCCCTCACACTCACAAGACATTGAACTGCAGGAGCTGCACGGCCAAGCTCTCGCAGAATCCCTCCACGGCGAACTTGGAGGCAGCGTAGACGTCGTTGAAGACGATCCCTGTGGGTGGAGAGGGGCTGAGTTTGGCGAGACCCCTCCCTGTAGCAAGACTCCCCCCGCCTTAAGACCCCCCCCCCCGCCTCACCTTGCAGCCCCATGACGCTGCTGATGACCACGATGTGTCCGCTCTGCCTCCGCTTCATGTCGGGGAGAACGGCCTTGATCATCCTCACAGCCCCGAAGAAGTTGGTCTCGAAGACGCGTTTCATCTCCTCCACGCTGATACTTTCCACGGGACCGATGTGGCCCACGCCGGCGTTATTCACTGCGGCATTATTCACCGGGGGGGGGGGGGGGGGCGGCTCAGAGACCCCCCCCCCCCAGCCACCCTAGGGGACCCCCCACCCAGCCTCTCCGCTCACCCAACACGTCCACCCGTCCCCCGGGGATGCTCCCCATGCACTCTGCCACCGAGCTGTCGCTGCAGACATCCAGACATTGGATGCTCAACGTTTTCCCCAGCGCCGATCCCGCCGCCTCCTCCAATTTCTCCTTTTTCCGCAGGTCCCGCATGGTGGCGATGACTGCGGGGAGCCCCAAATCCAGTCAAGGGGACCCCCAGTTGCCCGCTGAGGTTGGAGGGTCAAGCCAGGATGATTTTCCCTAAGCTGATTTGGTAACGTGGCCCTTAATCCCCCTCCCTGGCTTAATCCCCAGCACTGGTGTGGGATCCGTGGTGGGGCACACGCGTGTCTGTGTGTTTAGGGGTGACATTGGGAACGAGGACGGCGTGTTGGGGACCCCACATGTGTGTGTATGTGTGTGTCTGTGTGTGTGTGTGTATGGGGGGTGGGGGTGGCGTGGGAAGTGGGAATGAGGACGGCGTGCTGGCGTCCACACGCGTATGCGTCCACCCTGGGTGGGAATGTGCTGCCGGCCCCACTTACACGCGTGTACTGCTCGTGCCATCTGTGTCCCCGTGGGGCTGCCCTACATCCCCAGCTCCGTTTCACCTGGCGGGTGGGGGGGCTCTGCACCCCAAAACCTTTCTGGGGGGGGGGTGGGGTGGGGTGGGTGGTCTGTGAGCTCGGGGGCACGGGAATTCAAGTCCTGGCGGGGGGCTGTGGGGGGCTGGCTGGCTGGGGACCCCAAACTCTGCACCCTCCCCCCCGCAATGTGGGGCTGTGGGTCCCCTCCTGGGTGGATGTGAAAGGGGGGTGGGGTGTTCCCCCACCCTGTTTCCTCACCCTGGAAGCGTTGCTGGGGGTCCTGCGCCAACCTCACGGCGACGGCCAAGCCGATGCCGGAGGAGCAGCCGGTGACAAGGACGACGCGGGGCGCGGGGGTGGCCATGGCTGTGCTGGCCTCTGGTCCAAAGTCCCAAAGTCCCTTAGGAGATCAGGACCCGGCGTCACGTGGGAGCAGGATCAATCCTCCCCCCACCCCCCCTCACCCCCCGGGGACATCCCTTGGGGGGGGGGACCCCCCCTCTTCAGGGGGACACGTGGGACGGGGACAGGCGATGGCGCACGTGGCTGCCACCCCGTAGAGAGGTTGGACCCATCAGGGACACCCCCCCCCAAGCTCTTAGGGGAGCTGAGGGGGGCTGCGTTACCCCCAGAGCTTCGAGGGGGGGAAGGGCTCGTTTTTTGGGGGGGTCGGGGGGCGTCCACAGGGGCTCGTTACTGCAGAGACGCTAATAAATATTTGCTGGGAAATGGGAAACCGGGGGGGAGAGGAACCGTGAGTCAGGCGATGAGGCAATGGGGTGACGCCAGCCAGGAGGGTCCCCGGGGCCGGCCCTGCCGAGAGGCGGCTGCACTGGGGGGGTTGGGGGGGGTGCCCCAAAAACCCGTGGCCTTACTGTGGGGCTGGGAGCTCTGAAATGCCCAGCCTTGGGGGAGGGATGGGGGTGGAGGGGGCTTTGCACCCCCAAAAGCCACTGTCGTTGCTGCGGGGCAAGGGGTGTGCACCCCTAAACCTCGCTGGGGGACTGGGAGAAGGGGGGGGGGGCTCTGCACCCCTAAACCCACTGTCTGTGCTGTGAGGCTGGGAGTGAGGGGGACACTCTGCACCCCTAAACCTCGTTGGGGAACTGGGAACAGGGTGGGGGGCCCTGCACCCCAAAACCCACTGTCTTTGCTGTGGCACTTGGAGCAGGGTGGGGGGCTCTACACCCCTAAACCTTGCTGGGGGACTGGGAGCAGGGTTGGGGCCTCTGCACCCCAAAACCTGCTGTCTGTGCTGTGTGGCTGGGGTTGAGGTGGGGGGCTCTGCACCCCAAAACCCGCTGTCTGTGCTGTGAGGCTGGGAGTGTGTGTGGGGGCTCTGCACCCCTAAACCTTTCTGGGTGACTGGGAGCAGGGTGGGGGGCTCTGCACCCCAAAACCCATTGGCCTTGCTGTGGGGCTGGGAGCAGGGTGGGGGGCCCTGCACCCCCAAAACCCGCCGTCTGTGCTGTGGGGCTAGGATTGAGGTGGGGGGCTCTGCACCCCTAAACCTTGCTGTGGGTCTGGGAGCAGTGCGGGGGGGGGGGACGGGGACGGGGACGGGGATGGACACCCCCTGCACCCCTAAACCTCAGTGTGGGGCCGGGGCCTCTCGTCAGCCCCCGGCCCCGTTCCGGGTGACCGGAGCTCGCACCGGGACCCCCCGGGGTCGGGGCCGGGGCCCGCCCGTGGGCCGGGGCGGGCGGGAGGCGGGGGCTCCCGGCGGGTCGGTCCTCCCCTCCCTCCCCTTTTTCCCCTCCCTTTCCCTCCCCGCAGCCCCGGCGAGCCTGGAGCGGGCAGGGCGGGTTAAGAGCTCCGGGACCGGGTACCGGGCACCGGCTACCGGGGACCGGCTACCGGCTACCGGGCATGGAGGGTCCCCCGGTCCCCGCCGCGCTCCTCGCCGCGCTCCTCGCCGTCTTGCAGGGGCTGCCCCCGGCCAGGGCAGGTAACGCGCACCGGGTGGCAGGCGGGGAGGGAGGGAGAAGAGGGGGGGACACGACGGCCCCCACGCCCACGCGTGTCTCCGTTCACCCCCTCCGTCTCCCGGTTCCGCGGGGAGGTTGGCGGGGGGGCGGGTCGGCGGCGGGCTGAGCCCCGCGGCCTCGGCGGTGGGGATCGGGAGGGAAACACGCCCACACCCGCGAATGTCCCCGCGGGATTTTCGCTGCTGTCACGCGTGGGGGGGGGGGGGGGGAGAGGGGGGCCCGCCGCCTTCAGCACCACGGACAGGGCCTGAGGGGGCGTGGGGGGGGACCCCTGGGGGGGGACCCACGGGCACGGGGCTCTGGGGGGTCCCTCGTGGACCCCGGTGACAGGGACCCCCTGCTCTGGGGTGGGGGTGTCCCTCGTGGGATTGGGGTGCTCCCACCCCAGATAGGGGTGCACCCCCCCCCCTAGGCAAGGGTGCTCCCCCCCCAGCTAGGGGTGTTCCCCCCGGGTCCCTTGGTGGGAGTGCTCCTTCTGAGGAGGGGGTGCTCCCCCCCAGGACAGGGGTGCACCCCCAGATCCTCTGGGGGGGGTGCTGCCCCCGGGGTGGGGGAGCAGGCAGGGTGGGAAGCCCCAATGCCTGGGGTCCTCTCGCTGGCTTGGGGGGGTGTGTGTGTCTAGGGGGAGCGCCTGAAGCGTGAATAATGGGGTTAAGCGCTGGCACGGGCTCCCGGGGCTGGGGGGGGGGGGGGCCGTGGGGGTGCCCCCCTCACCCCGATTCCTCCAGCTTTGCTGCACCCCACCCCTTGGCTTTACGGGGAGCGGTGCCGAGCCACCAGCACCCCCGTGTGTGTCCCGCCCCCCCTCAGCTCCCTGAGCCCCCCCATACCGCACACACACACACTGGGGGGGGGGGGGCTGGCAACTGGAGGGGCTTGGCTTGTACTGGGGGTTCCCAGCTTGGGGAAGAGAGGGGGGGCGGGGTGGGGTGGGGGGTGTCTGTCTGTGTGTGTGTGTCCCCCCAACCCCGGCACGCCGTGTCCCGCGGGAACGCCGGCAGGAAGCCGGACCCATGTGCCGGGGTCAGGAGGGCCTGAGAGACGGCTCGGCCGGAGCGGGGGTCAGCCTGTTCCCAGCCTGGCCCTGTCCTGCCGTGCCCCCCCCCCCTCAAACTTGGGGTATCCCAGCCAGGCTGGTGGGGCTGGGGGCAGCTTGGGGACCCCCAGGAGGAATTGCCTCCCCCCCCTCCCCTCGCCCCCAATCCCCTTGGCCTGCCCAGACAAGCCACTCCGGCAGGGAGGGTGGGTGCTGCCCCAGGCAGGGGGGGCCCCCCAACCCGCACCCCCTCGTGCACACCTGGATTAACCCTCCACGCGCCCGAGTGCAGCTGACAATTGGGGTTCAGCTCCCTGCGGGGAGCGGGCAGCACCCCTCAAACCCTCTCCCCACGCCTCCAGCTGGGTTAACGCTTCGGGGTGCCGGGGTGGCGGGGGGCGAGCCCTCCCGCCCCTCGGGGGGGTTGGGGGGGTGGGGGGGGTGTGCACCCATCCATGCCGTGGGGTGCAGAGCAGGGCCGGGGGCGGAGGAATGCGGTGAAGGAATCTGGCGGCCGCGGGACCGGACCTTGGGCCCACACAGCTGCCTGGCACCGGGCCGGCCCGGCTTGGCGGGCGGCAGGCAGGGGGATGGGGATACGGCTGTGAAGCTCTGAACACGGCCGAGGTGTCTCCAGTGGGTCCCCACCCCCTGAAAAACCCCCACTCCCCCCCCCCCCCCCCCCCCCAGCCGTGCCCGTGGACGTGCTGCAGACGCTGGGCATGCAGGATGGTCGAGATGGCGTCACCGTCACCGCCGGGATCTGCCCTCAGCGCCCCAGCACCCAACCCCCCGATTTCGCTTTCCGCGTGGACAACAGCACCCAGCTCAGCGCTCCCACCCGTCACCTCTTCCCCGGTACGGCGCCGGGCGGCAAACCGAACCCTTCCAAGGGCCAGCATCCCCTTTCGGGGGGGGGGGGGGGGGAGATGTTTTTGGGGTGGGGGGGTGCTTAGCCTGCTGGCTCACCCCCTTCCTCCCTGCTGCAGGTGGCTTTTTCCCCGAGGATTTCTCCATCCTGGCCACGGTGCGTGCCCGGCGCGGGGGACAAGCCTTCCTGCTCTCCATCTACGATGAGCGCGGTGTGCAGCAGCTGGGCGTGGAGATCGGCCTCTCGCCCGTTTTTCTCTACGAGGACCAAGAGGGGCGGCCGGCCCCCGAGCTGTACCCCGTTTTCCGCCGGGTCAACCTGGCCGATGGCAAGTGAGTGCCGGGGAGGGGGACACAGAGAACGGGGAGGGGTGTCCCTCTCCGGTCCCTCTCGCTGCCACCGAGTCCCGTCTCCGTAGGTGGCACCGCGTGGCGTTGGCCGTGGAAGGCACCAACGTCTCCTTGCTGGTGGACTGTCACCTCCTCGCCACGCTGCCGCTGGAACGGGGACCCCAGCCCCTCGTTAGCACCGAGGGGGTGACGATTTTTGGGGCCCGCCTCCTGGATGAGGAGGTGTTCGAGGTGGGTCCCTCCCCAAATCCTTCTGCCCGCGCCCCTGGCCGGCCCGTAGCACCCTTGCCCTGGTAGTGAGGGGTCTGGGGAAAAGAGGGGGACCCAGTCGCCATCGGGGGGGGGCTGCTTTCTGTCCCCACAGTGTGTCCCCATCCCTGTGGGGTGATCTGGTGCCCCTCCCTGCATCCCTGTCCTCTGCAAATGTCAGGGGCCACGGGCAAAGAGGCGGCATTGAGGCAGCGAGACGAGTGGGGCTGGACCCCCCCCACCCCGTGCTCATTTTGTCCCCAGTGGGCAGACAAAGGTCCCTTTGTTCGCTCCCCACCCCCTGCACCCTCCACCCGGGCGAGGGGGTGTCCACGCTGGGCTGCCCCAAACCACCCACGGACCAACCGGCTGCCGCAGGGACGGGGCTGCCCGTGAACACTGGTTCTTACACGTGTGTCCGGGGTGTGCGTGGGCACCTGACAGGCCCCGGGATGCGGATATAGGGGGGCAGAAAACCCACTCCCCCGGGCTCCCCGCTTCTCCTTTGCTGCAGGGTGACGTCCAGCAGCTGCTGATCGTGGCCGACCCCGAGGCCGCCCGTTCCTACTGCCAGCTCTACATGCCAGACTGCGACCAGCCCCTGCTCTACCCGCTCCTAGCCCCCTTCCCGGAGGACGTAAGCACCCAAGCTGGGAAGGAGAAGAACTGGGGGGACCCTTGGGACCCCCCACCCTGCTGGGCAGCCCGCGGGGATGCTGCCAGGCTTGATTTAACCACGGGGGGAGCTGCCAGGGGCCCTGACACCCACGTTTCTCTCCCCACCGGTCTCTGCGCTGCCCCTTGCAGAGCGACACGGAGCCCACCGCCGCCCCGCGTAGGAAGGGCAGGAAGGGCAAGGGGAAAGGCAAGCGCAAGGGCAAGGGCAAGAAAAAGAGGAACAAGGAGCTGCTGGAGCAGCACGAGGCCTCCGTGCCATCCGTCGTGGCCAACCAGGTAGAGAGTGTGACTAACCCCCTCCTACAGCTGGTTAACCCACCCCGGTTAAC